CCTCCCTTTCTTCCTTTTTCCTCTTATTTATTAGAATTTATGGCATTAGGATAGAGGGCCAGGAATCTTCTTTCTCTGTTTTGAGATTGACAAGGCCAAGGTTAGGGTAAAGGAAGAAGAAAATGCACAGCAGCGAGTATTCCTGTAATGTCCAGGCTCTGCCCATAAAATTTTGCTTACATTATGGAATGAAATTCATGTCTGGGAGGTATTTCAGCTGCCTGCTGCACATGATGACAGTGGCAGGCCTTGGTAGTGATTCAGAGATTAAGGATTGCATTGGAGGACAGAAGTTGAGGATCAAACCCTGGGCAGCATAACCTAAAATGGGTCTGTACATTCGGTAGACGGTGTTTATAATTAGTTTGGAGGGGAGGGGAGAGGCATAAGCAAACAAGAGCGGGGAGGTCATCTCAAGCATGATGTTTGCTGGTGGCTAGAGGTTGGTAAGGAAAGAAAAGAAGAAGCAAGGCATTGGGTCAGAGCCTGTTGAAATAGGGGTGGGTGTGTTTCTGCATAATTAATTTTCCCTTTTTGTTCCCCACCTCACTCCTCTTCCCCACACTCCATATTAACTACTATCAGCTGATTTGAGAAGCAACTTAAATTGGTTTCATAGAACTGTATGCCAGAAGATTGACAAGGCCTGTAAGAAATGAAAGCGAATATCTGGCTCATAGAAACAGAGAAATGTATTTCTTTTAGCTGGTAGGTTGTCGATATCTATGAAGTAAGGTTTGTGGACAAAACTCAAGTATAGAAATAACTTATCAGCATCTCTTCTTAAATAATCAAATATGAATATTTTCACACACAGCTTGTAGTGTATAAATGGAACAACTTTTCTGGAGAGCATGTGGTAATATGTGTCAAATTCTTTAATGTATATGCACTTTGACTCCCTAATTTCATGTTTAAAAATTTTCCTAAGAAAATATTCAAATGTACAAGCCAAATATTTTTTATACTAGGAAAAATGGGAACAACCTAAATGTCCCACAGTGGAGAATTGACTAAATAACTTATGATATAGTCCATGTGGGTAATAATTATACAGCTTTTAAAATGACACATATTTTCCAAATAGTAATAAGAGAAAGTTTCTGAAAGATGGGCCATACAGGGTATCCCCAAAAATGTATATACATTTTAACAGTTGATAGCTCAGTTTTGAAAGTGAAATGTATTTTAATAAGCACTACCTTTATAATTATTCAAAGTATGTGTATACATTTTTGGGGATACCCTATATTTTAGGCATATTTTTTAAAATGAGAAAACATCTATACTAATAAAAGGGCAATATGCTAATTAGACTGGACGTCTTCCAGACATCCTCCCGACGTCCTTATGGACAATGCCATGGTGGCAGGGGCTGAGGTAGAGGTGGTGAGTGGTGATCAGGCCGGCAGGGGAGAGCAGTTAGGGGCGATCAGGCAGGTGAGCGGTTAGGAGCCAGCAGTCCCGGATTGCAGGAGGAATGTCCAACTGATGGTTTAGGCCCTAAACCAGTAGTCAGACATCCCCTAAGGGGTCCCTGATTGGAGAGGGTGCAGGCCAACCTGAGGGACACCCCTCCATGCACAGGGCCTCTAGTGTATTAGATAATAATAGATCAAAAACATTGTGTAAAGTGACATCAACACTGATAGTAAATGAATAAAACATACATTTTGAATCCAGCTAGCATGGCTCAGTGATTGAATGTCTACCTATTAACCAGAAGGTCATGGGTTTGGTTCCCCATCAGGGTACATGCCCATTTTGTAGGCTCAATCTTTGTGTGTGTGTGTGTGTGTGTGTGTGTGTGTGTGTGTGCAAGAGGCAACTGATCAATGATTCTCTCTCATCATTGATGTTTCCCTCTCTCTTCTCTGAATTAAAAAAAGATATTTAAAAAAAACATACATTTTGATAATGTATGGATAAAATGGTAGAAGTACACCAAATATTTTATAGTGAAATTATGAAGAAAGTTTCTGACTGATGGGCTATTTAAGTCATGATACTTCTTACATGTATGTATATAGACATATTTATACATTTCCATTTGAATCATTTATTTTTACTAGTAGTTTCTTTTAGGTAGGCTAGTTTTTGTTAAAAATATTGGTATTTGTTTTTTTGAATGCTGTGTACCTTTATTTTTTTAGTCCTCGAATGTTGCTTTTTAAATGCAGTCTTGCAGATAATAAGTAGTTGGTTAGTTGAGATGAAGGAACTTGTAGCTCGTGACCATCTTTCCTTCGCATCAACACCAGCTTTCATCGTACAATTTCCTTTCGTCACTTTGGTCAAGAGGAGGGGCAGAAAATTTTGAGTTGGAGTATTATTCAGAGATGATTCACTTCTGCCTTCTAGCTTACAGCCCCTCATGCACTCAACGATCCAGAGTTGGAAACGCTAACATCTTCCACTTCATTTTTGGATCAGCTTTCTCCATCTGCAACACTACATCCACAGATACAGGTAACATTTGCTACTAATCCCTCAGTCTTTGTACCTGAGTATCCTATTAGTCCTCCTTATAAGGAAAAAAAATCTAAGAAACAAGAATTTTAGGAATATATTATTTTATCAATTACAAATGACTAGGCATGAGTATAGGATTGATTAGGAATGCAATCTCGATTGCGTTAAAATAACATAATCTCTGAAGGGAATGTGAAAACTAGTTCAGCATTCACATTTAATGTGGACTTAATGATTTGCATGGTATCTATTCCATCTTGAAGGATTTTGTAATGGAAAATACCCCTTTCCTTAGGAAATTGGAGAAAATGTGGATAGAGAAGTCTAGAAAATTTTGTAAATTAAAATAAAAATGTAAAAGAACAAAGTTACATATGCAATTTGTTTTCCATACTATCTGTTTCTTGGTTTTATTCAAGGAGCAAGGTACATTTTAAATACTTATTATTTAATAATTCCTTTTTAATATTGGTATTCATTAATAAATTAAATTCTTTATGGATATTACCTAATGACTGCCTTTAAAAATTTTTATTTTAACATAGACCTCTCAGGCAGCCTCATACACAGGAAGATTATTTCTAGAATTTTAATGTACATGCAGTCATTTGGGATTAAAAATAAAGGCATTTGGCTCCAACCTGCGATTTTTATTCAGCATATCTTGCCTGGGGCGCTGGAATCTGAAATGTTAACCAATCTGCAAGGTTAATTCTCAAATAATTCTTTTGCAGATGGTGTATGGGATACACTTTGGGAAACACTTTGATCGAGTTATGTTATAATTGAATGGAACGAGTGAACCTTTTAACAATTTGTATGCAGAGTTGAACAGTAGATATTGTTTTTTAAAGTCAAGATATTTATATTTTCAGAATTTCAAAAAGTAGAATTTTGGTGTTTTAAATTGATAATTTTAAAGGTCTTTCAGTCATTTGGGATGGTACCAATTTTGGCTAACAACTGTATGTTTATGTTGAACATTTTGAGCTAGATTGGCTAGGTGAATAGGACCCAGCCTATTCAATCTATTGATAAATATTAATTTTTTTCATATTTTCTAATAATCATGGGTGTAATATTATATAAATTTCTTATATAAATCAGTCTCAGTTTATGTGCTTTAGGCATTCCAACTAGTTAATGAACACACATTGATATCACAGGCAGAGATACACACATACCTCTCATTTCTGGCGTGCTCCTACAGACTAACATTTTACACTTTCTTTAGACAGAAATCATCCTGATGCAAGGTTTTAATGCAAAACATTTTTCTCTTTGTACTCTAGAGATGAGCGATCAGGAAATAATTTATTCAACCCCTGCATTTCTTCAGAATCCTTCAGAACTACAAAATACATTAAGGCCTGGTGGTACTCAAAGGCCTGGAAAAATTGATGGCAAAGGTATATGTTTTAAGCATCTGGATTTACCTATTCTTATAGCTTGTCAAATGCTTGAAGCTTGAAAAAATGTTTTTATCTGTACTTTAGGTTCCTAGATGGTAATACAAAACCATAAGTTTTGTAGTAGTAGAACAGTCTTTTTTTCTTTTTCTTACATATGTGAGAGTGGAAAAATTAGTGAATTCTTTAAATTTGAGGAGCTAATAGAATATTTTCATTCAAATTTGGTCAAGGAATTTTTGAGGCCTTTAACCCCTGGCTCAGTGCCTCAATTGGAGTGTTGTCCCATATACCAAAAGGTTTTGGACTCTATTTACAGTGGACTGTGTACAGGAGACAACCAATAAATGTTTTTCTCGCCTCTCTCTCAAATAAAAAAATAACAAATATCCTCAGTGAGGATAAAAAAAAAAAGCTAAATAATAGACTAGTATCTCAAGAAAACATTGCATTTCCTAGACAAATAAAAGTCTAAGAAACATTTAAGAGATGAAAGATATGATTTTATTCAGACAAAAGATATTTTAGGTGCTTTAAATATTTACGAAACCTTGATGGCAATAAAGCTGCAAATATGTTAAAATCAAAAGGCGCATACTAATTTTTCTATTCTCACTCTCTCTAGCAAATATTGTCACAATTAAACTTTAAATTGAGAATAACTTTTACTATTTTATTATGGTGATGATAAGAGATACAGCTTACAGATATTGAGGACACAAATGTAGGATGCTAAAAATAGCATTGTCTAGTGAAAAATAAAGTTGATGAGAAAGAAAGGAAAGTTGATTTCTAGAAATATCTTTAAGAATGGATCCCAATCACATTTGCAGCTTCAGAATATTCACTATTGGCTACCAATTTCTCAAGAATATTGACTGTGCCCGGCCAGTGTGACTCAGTGGTTCAGCATTGGCCCATGAACCAGGAGGTCATGGTTCAATTCCCCGTCTGGGCACATGCCTGGGGTGTGGACTCTATCCCCAGTAGGGGGCTTGCCAATTGCTGTTTCTTTCTTATCCGTGTTTCTATCTCTCCCTCTCCCTTCTGCTCTCTAAAATAAAAAAATATATATTAAAAAAAAGAATATTGACTGCTTTCCTTTCTTCATGATTAGTTGTGATCACGTCAAGGAGTACACACACCAGTGTGGCTTCTCATAAATGTGTGCTGTGTCTACTGTCACCTGTACCTATGAAATCCTATAGAACTGTTTTTGTGTGTAGGATTTCTACCGTGGGTGTGTGCCAGTCAGAAATCTGAAACTTTAAAACTGTGACTACTAGATTCCAGATTTAGATCAATTTGTATGATATCATTTTATAAAATTTGTAGAAAACATTTGTCCCTTTGTTGCAAATGGCGTCCCAGTAAAGGTTAGTAGTGGGCCAAGCTCTACTCCTGGTGATTTTTTTTTTAATTTAAAAAATTTTTATTTAATGGTCTTAAATGTATGGTATATCCTGGACCATACAAGTAGATTATGACTTATCTTAAATTACATGTAGATTAAATTATATTTTATCACACATGCAA